CCTCCACCCTGACGTAGAATCGTCAATCAGAATCCTTTGACTGCAAACAGCAAACCAGTTCTTAATCCATCAAACAGTTCGTCTTTCAATTCAAATCCATACCTCTACAATTTAGAGAGAAGATTGTGGTGAGGGGCCATGTCAGTGTCAAAGGAACAGTGGCACTTCTGTGTCACTACCTGTCCTGGTTACTCAGGGAACCTCCTGACCAAACCACAAGTCCCATCACAGCTGGGTCAGTGGTGAAGCAATGGCCTCCTTTCTGCTCTGTCCAGCCTTTCTCACACTATTGCACCTGCACTGCACTGGGCTGATGATCATTTTCCCTCAGGAGACTGAGACCAAACGCTGTCTTGAGGACATTACAAGAAATACCAAGCCTGAATAGTTTCTCAACAAGGCAGAAGTCACAAACAAGCAGGTTTTTGTGCAGTATCTGCATGGATTCTGCAAATTATTAATGAGAAAATAGCACAATCCATTAACTAATGAAGTTAATAGCAGCGTTTACACGGCATTTCCTTTTGTTCAATTGCTCCTTCTGAGAGGAACACAGAACAGCTGTCCAATGCTGTACCAGCAGCTTTTTCTGGATTTCAATATCTTAGGTTCAAGAAGGTGCTTTTTCAAGCTTGTTGGGAACTCAGCAGAGCTTCTATAAACCTGTGAAACTCTGGGTAAGCAGGAATGTTGAATATGCACAGTTCTCTACCTAGAGACACTAAGGTCCTCTAAAGCCATTTTCAAGTTACCAAATCTATGAGGGTAGGATTTCAGAGAAAAGTCCCACACCATTCACCAGCAGCATGTTGCCTAGACCCTCCCAATGCCAGAATCTAGGGCACTGAATGCACCCTCAGTAAGTTTGCGGGTGACATCAATTTGGCAGGAAGTGTCAATTTGTGTGGGGGTAGGAAGGTCCTACAGACAGATATGGACAGGCTGGATAGCTGGGTTTAAGCCAATGGGAAGTTCAACAAGATCAAGTGGTAGGCCCTGCACTTTGTTCACAACAACCCCAAGCAGTGCTGCAGTCTTGGGGCAAAGTGACTGGAAGACTGTGTAAAGGAAACACAACTGGAGATATTGGTTGATGGTCAACTGAACATGAGCCGGCAGTGTGCCTAGGTGGCCAAGGCCAATGGCATCCTAGCTTGTATCATAAATAATGTTGCCAGCAGGAGCAGGGAAGTGATCATTCCTCTGTACTCAGCCCTGGTACTCGCACCTCGAGTACTGTGCTGTTCTGGGCTCCTCACTACAAGAAAGACACTGATGCCCTGGAGCATGGCAAGAGAAGGGCAACAAAAGTGGTAAGGGATCTGGACCACAGATCTTAGGAGGAGTGACTGAGAAAGCTGGGATTGTTTAGTCTGCAGAAGAGGAGGCTCAGGAGTGATCTTATCACTCTTAACAACTATCTGAAGGAAGATTGTGGTGAGGTGGGTGTCAGCTCCTTCTCCCATGTAACTAGTGATAGGAGTAGAGGCAATGGACTGAAGTTGTGCCAGGGGAGATTGAGGTTGGACGTTAGGAAATAATCCTTCTCTGAGAGAGTGGTCAGTTGCTGGAATGGGCCGCGCAGGGAGGTGGTGGAATCATTGTCTCTGAAGGCATTCAAGAAACATTCAGATGCTGTACTGAAGGACATGGTTTACTGGGAAATACTGGTGATAGGTGGACTGTTGAAATGGGTGATCTTAGAGGTCTTTTCCAACCTTGGTGATTCTATGATTCTATCCAGCAGCAACAGCTGTATCTACATCTGAATGATAACCAACTGATGTATTACTAATCTGTGTACATGAATCCCAGTTTCCCGGCTGATAAAGAAATCACCTTGACAAGATGGATGTGCATTTTTAACGATCCGAAAACCAGATATTATGCAGAATAGTATTATGCACAACACCGGGGTCCTGTGTACTGTTTGTAGCTCAAGGACAGAAAAAGCTTTAATAAGCTGATCCTCATCTCACTGACTAGAGGACATAGCTCAGGCAGAGCAAAAATGGAAGCCATAAGATAGACTGGTTGCCAGCTAGTGAAGATATATCATTCAGATGATCGAAGAACAATTAACTAATTACAAGGGAAGAGTGACCCCCATAGGATAACTGCTCTACGAACAACAGCCTCCCTCTCTGAAACTGTTCCTGACCTGTTACTACCTGCTCCCACCTGCCTAAGAGAGATCTCAGCTTCTCTGTTGAGTCTGATGTGCAAAAGCAAACAAAAACCAGCATGCATGCAGCTGGGAAAATTCCTGGACTGTGTTGTGGCTTCAAGTCCAATGCTACACAGCTTCCGCTTACAGTGCAGCAACAGTTCCTTGCAGTGTTCCCAGAAAAGGAAGCTGGGAGATTCTGATTTCATCTACAAACTCCCGAATCAACTTTCTCTCTGACAACGGCACCTTGTGGCCAAACATGCACGTGACAAAACTCCTATTCTGAGGAAGATGGGATCTGAATTTCAAGGGATGCTTATTCCATTCTATATCCCCTTTTTTCTCTATGGATTTGGTGAATCCTTCTACAGGCCAGGTGGGTTGTTGTTGGAACAAAATTGAGACTGGTGCCAAAATCCATGCAGGTGCATGGCAAAACTGCATTTTCACCAGCCTTACTGATCTCAGACATCATCCTAAAATGAAGCCAGTGCTTCCAGTGACTGCACAGCACCGTCAGCACAACTGCTCCTCCATACAGGTCCATCTCCAACACCTTTGCTGCAAAAGAGTATAGCTTCTCTTGTTCTCTCCTGCGTGTTTAAGATGCATGCTTCAATACTCACCTCTTACAGTGTTTTCTGATCCCTGTTTGGGAAGCACATACCAAATCCTGCCATAATATAGGGTCCTTTTTGGCAGGTCACAGAAGAAGTAACAATGTTTTCTCTGTCTACAGACAGGTATTCCTGCTTTCCAGATAGGATTGCAATCATAGAATCACAGAATCACAGAATCACAGAATCCTTAAAATTGGAGGAGACTTTTAAAGGTCAGTTAGTCCAACTCCCCTGCAATGAACAGGGACATCACAGCTAGATCAGGTTTCCCAAGGCCTGACCCAGCCTCGCCTTGAGAATCTTCAGGAATGGAGCCTGCACCCACTGCAGCACTAGGTAACCTGTTCCAGTGCCTCACCACCCTCACTGTAAAAGACTTCTTCCTTATATCAACATAAATCTACCCCTTTGAGCTTGAAGCCATTTCCCCTTGTTCTGTCACCACAGACCCTGCTAAAGGGTCTGTCCCCTTCTTTCCTGTAGCTCCCCTACAGATACTGAAAGGCCACTATCAGGTCACCTGAGAGCCTTCTCCTCTCCACGCTGAACAGCCCCAGATCTCTCAGCCTGTCCTTACAAGAGAGGTGTTCCACACTGTGGATCATTTTCGTAGCTCTTCTCTGAATGCTCTCCAACAGGTCCCTGTCTCTCCAGTACTGAGGACTCCACACCTGGATGCAGTACTCCAGGTGAGGCCTCACCAGCACAGAGTAGAAGAGTGGGATCCCCTTCCCCAAACTTCTGATACAGCCCGGGATACAGTAGGCTTCTGGGGCTCTGAGGGTACAGTGTTGGCTTATGTTCAACTTTCCATCCACCATTACCCTCAGGTCTTTCACAGCAGGGCTGCTCTCAATCCTTTCGTCCCTCAGTTTGTATCAGTAAAGGGGGTTGCCTCGACCCAGGAAGATCTGTGCCATGATCTTTCCTGGCACAGATGTGAGACTGATAGGATGGTAGTTCCCTACATTGTCAATTTCACCCTTCTTAAAAATGAGTTAAAAATGAGTGTGCTGTTGCCTTTTATCCAGTCACCAGAAACTCCAGTTGGTAGAGTCACCACAACTTTTCAAGTACCATAGAGAGTGGCGTGGCGACTACGTCAGCTAATTCCCTTAGGGCTCCAGGATGCATCTCATTGGGACTCATAGACTTGGGGATGTTCAGGCTCCTCAGGTGGTCATGAATCTGATCTTCAATTACCATGGGAGGAAAAACACTGCTTCCACAGTCCTCTCCTACTTAGCCAAATGTTTGAGGGCTGCGTGGAAAGCAGTGATCAGGGAAGACAGAGGCGAAAGAGTTGTTAGATACTTCAGCCTTCTCCTTGTCCATTGTTACCAGCCTACCTGTGTCATTCACTAAGGGGTGTACGGCCTCCTGGACCTCCCTTTTCTGGTTGGGGTCCCAGTAGATGAAAAATGTGATATGAGCCACCAGTGCACCTTGCAGCCCTGAAGGCTAACAGTATTGCTAGGCTGCATAAAGAGAAGGAAGGCCAGCAGAGAAGGGGAGACAATTACCCCTCTCTATTCTGCCCTCGTGAGACCCCCCCTCTGGAGTACTGTGTCCAGGTCAGGGGGCTCCAGCACAAGAAAGATGTAGAGCTTTTAGAATGGGTCCAGAGTAGGGCTACAAGGATGATCACAGGACTGGAGCACCTCTCCTATGAAGACAAGCTGGGAGCCTATAAACAGGAAGGAAATTGACTTGTTACTCAGGAAGATAGTGATAGGACAGGGGGGAATGGCTTTAAACTAAAGGAGAGGAGATTTAGATTAGATGTCAGGGGAAATTTTTCATTAGGAGTGCAGTGAATTGCTGGAACAGGCTGTGCAGAGAGGATGTGATGCCCCATTCCTGGAAGCATTCCAGGCCAGGTTGGATGAGGCCCAGGGCAACCTGATCTAGTGGCTGGCAACCCTGCTCACAGTTTGGAACTAGACGGTCTCTGAGGACCCTTCCAACTCAAGCCATTCTATGATCAAATAAGTGAGGTTTTACAACTCAACCAGTTGTTTTGTGTGTGTGTGTGTGTGTGTGGTTGGTTTTTTTTTTTTTTTTTTTTTTTTTAAACAAGTTTTGAGAGCATTCCCGAAAGTGATTCAGAACTATGCACATATTGCAATGTCAGGTGTATATCTGCAGCATTTTGAACAATGGTTCAGACTGCCAGTGAGTAGCATTAACAGCACCTTCAACTCACGCCGTAGGAACAAATACTTTATTCAGAAAAAGCACAGGAAGAGAAACTGGTCCTTCACAGTCCTACTGAAAATGCTGTGCCTCACGGTCCAACACAGTAGTTCACTAGCCCTGTACTTCAGTTGCATGCATGGTATTACAAGGATTTTTCCAATCCTTTGAGAACAATCAGCTATTTGCTACAGCACTCAAGTACAAAATCTGTACATAGGCCACTACAAAAGTAATGCCTCCTATTTATTTCCACGGAAACTCCTACAGATAGAAAGAGCATGATAACAATATTTGATAGAGCAAACTTTCAGTTACAGAACAGTAGTTTTCAGCATAGTCACCACCACTAGCTATGCATTTTCAGCAGCAGTGAACAAAAGCCTGCATGCTGTGCTAGTAAAAATCTGAACCAGCAAAGGTGACCCGCTCTTGCTACTGCTGAAGCGCATCACCTACTGCCTCATTGTGCTAATATTCACTGTCTGGCCTCCATAAATGTTCAGCTAGCATCCACAGATATCAATGGGTGACATTTTTCTGCATGGAGAAACACAATTACACATCTTTGCTTCATACATGCTTCCATACCAGACATCGTTTTGTTACAATGCTTCTCTGCTGCCCTCTATCACACAGCAACAAAATGTAACAGAACATCTGAGGGAAGGTTCAAGCTCTACTGCCCTAATATCCACCCTGATGTAGCAGCCCAACATAACAACACAGGAGGCATTACTTTCAGAGCAGCCTTCACATTCAAAAGCAGTAACATAATTTCTTGCACCTCCATTCAGGCCAGTATCAGTGCCACCCTGTGATATTAAGAATTATAACGACTTAAAGCAGCTACCACATAAATGAGACTGCTGTAATTACTCAGTATCCTCGTAAGTCGCCACTCTTATCAGGCTGTGAAAAGCCAAGTAGGTTCAGATCCATTTTTGAAATTGCAGTAGAGCTGAACAGCAGAAGCTAGATTGATGTAGATTAGTTTGTCAATTTTCAGGACTTCTGGAGAAGAATACTGGCATTTTCTTCTTTGCCATTTCCTGCTGCATGTTCCTTCCACAAATATCAAAGACAGCATCCCATAGAATTTGCAGTACTACGTACGTACAGTGATTAGCTCCACGACCACCTGTGTCACCTGACACAGAAACACAGCATTCAGTCCAACGCTGTGCTAACCAAACACTAAGCATCCTCTAGATAATGACTTCCTATTATCTGAGTTATTCCTACAAAACACTGCCCAATCTATCATATTACCGCATACCTATGTTAAGAACACAAAATTTCAGCAAGTCGCTTACTTTTATAAACACCACAATCAGCGGGACCCAAACACCTTTTCGGAGCAGGTCTCACAGCAGACCCCTCTGACTGTGGCAATTCACCGATAATTTGAAAAGTTGCTTCTGCATCAGCCTGCAGCATTTCTGAGACCCGTCTGGCTGCCGGATGGAGGTCAGCAGAGCCCTGCGCTGTAAGTGATGGATGAAGCATAAAGCAACTGTTAACTTCCTTTCTCAGACAGAGCTGAACGACGACCCAGATGCACCCGCAGTCCTTCAGTGACACAACACCTTCTCGGTCCCTAACACCGCGCTTTCCACGTTACAAGCTCGCGCTCCGAGTTGCTGAAGACAATTTTTCATCACATCGTACTTTAATGTTTTACAACACACCGAACCTAGCCTGCCTTATACGCCACCTGCCCAAGGATCAGAAGCTCAGAGCGTGAAAAAACAATTGCTAAATAACTCCAAACAGCTCCGATTGACAGGCCGACCGCCCAGCTGCGCCGCCGCCCTTCTCCCCTCAAGCGGGGCGGGGGCTCACGCCGCACGCAGCACGCGGCGCGCCCTCACAGGCCGACTCCGCTCTCCTCTCCTCTCCTCTCCTCCCCTCCCTCGCTTCTGCCCCCTGCGGTTCCAGCCAATCCCTACCGTCGGTGTTGCGTCCCGGCGCCGCGAAGCCCCTCCTTCCCCCGTCGCCGCTCGGAGCGCGGCCGCGCCCGCCGCTCGTGGCAGCCGGCGGTTGGCGGCCCGCGGGCGGCCAATGAGGAGGCGGCAACTCAGAGCAGGCGCTCGGCCGGACGGGGAGGCTGCGGTCGAGTCCGAGTCGCGGGGGGTCGGAGCGGGGTTGCGTTGTTTCGCTGTGCGGCGGCGAGATGAGGCGGCGCGGACTGTGGGTGCTGCTGCTGCTGCTGGGGACGGCGCAGCTGGCCGTGCTGATGGCGCAGGAGGACGGCGAAGGTGAGCGGGCGGCGGGAGCTGGGAAGGGCGGAGGCCGCCGGGCGAGTTGGGGCCGCGATCAGTGGGTGCGGGGTCAGTCGGTGCGGCGATCGATCCGAAACTGACGTGAAGCCGAGCTTGTTGTGCGGTGATGTTGGGGCGGAACGTGGGCTGGGGCGGTGAATATGCTGAGAGAAAGGCGAGGCTGGAGCTGGTGGGGGGCAGGTCGTGGCCGCTAGTCCTCCGCACGTGGAGGAGAAGGAAGGGAGCGTGCGGTCGGTGTGCCGCAGGAAAGATGGAGGCTGCGTTTGTGAAATGGCCATTTGAAGCACCTGGCGACGTGTGCCTTATCTTCACTCGTGTCTTCTGGAGATGGAGGCCACCTCGCTGTGCTCAGGCTGGGAGATGCGGTAATGCCCTTCTTAAAGGAAACGCGGGCGGAATCTGAACGAGCTGCATCTAAACTTCACTGGCTTTCGTACAGGATCCATTTCACTCGAGGAAAAAAATGGCCTAGGCCAGATTTCCAGTAAGTGTTGAAAAGCTCGGTGAAGCCAAGCTTATGGGCTAGTTTCAGAGTAACCCATCATCCTGAGAGGCCTGCCAGTCAGCACCACGTATGTGAAGTTTTAAAACAAGTGTCAGCTTTACTATATTTATTTTTAAATGACTTACTTGTGTAGAGATTTCTGAGAGTATTTTGTTGGAATTCTACTGGAAGACAGGTTCTAGCAAAGCTCTTGCTTCATTGCTTTGACCATTTCCTTTGCATATAGCTTCAAGAAACAAAAATACTTCGTTGCATGCAGCTGCTTTGTTTTTGTGAGCTCTGTTATACAAATATTATCACACTACTTCTGCCGTATCAGGTGTCAGTTGCTCATTCTGTGACAGCTCTCCTAAAAAATATAAATCAGTAATGCTGAATAAATGAAGGGTGCCCCAGCTCCCCTTATATCTCAGGTAGTTCATGAAAAGCTTCAGCCCTGATGTATTAGAGGTAGCTCAAGTGGCTGTAGAAGTTGGTGAAGTTGTGGATTCCAGAGTTCGTGGGCATCCCAGATAGAGGTGCTCTGCTTCAGCAAGGGGCAGACTGGAGTCCTGCTTTTCCATACCTCCTTCCTTTGGGTGGAGCAAGTGCTTGGGTATGTTTGTGCAGCGATCTAAATACATCCCTGTCAAAAAAAACCTGGTGTTGGCAGACACACAGCTACTTCCAGTGAAAGATACAAAATTACTTCAGCGGTATATATTGGATCTTGTGGTTTAGCCCTTCAGCTGTGCAGAATCTTTGTTGCTTTTCCATACTCTGAGCATATGGTGCCACTATGGCGGTGTGCCTTCTCATCAGGGAAGGAAGGTTAGCATTTTGAGCAGAAGCAAGAGTAGCAGACTGATGGTTAGAATCAGAGCTGCATGAGCAAAATTGACTGACAAATTTTGCTCAGACTTTTTTTGTCAGTGAAAATCAAGTCTGACATGTTTTCAAGCAACTGGCGTGGTACAGCTCTCTGGAAGGGAGTTCAGGCACAGACCAACCTTGAACATCCTGTTGTGAAACATCCCTCAGAACCATGGAGCGCTGTTAGTAGAAGTTGTGACTGCTGAACCCCCTGAAAAACTGGCTTTTTCACCATGGTAAATGAATGCCCTGGTAGTTCTCCCTGGAAGCTTAATCCTTTCCTGCAACTGTTCTGATGCAGCAACAGAGAAGCTGTTATCCAGTTGTAAAGTTTAGCTTCAATCAGATAAAGCAATAGTAGTTGCTGAGAAACTTGATCCAAGCGACTTCTGTTGTGTGAGAAATGATCCCTTGTGATCTCTCACCTCATCAGACATGAATATTTTAGTATCATGCAGAGTTGCACTCAAATTAAAATAAGCATGTCTTCTGCACGAGTGCATTGTTGTGTGAGAGCTTATGAGAGCTTACACACTTATCTTTATTTTTTCATGGAAAAATGGTTGCTGCTGTCTAACAGTATGTGATGTTTGGTGTCTGTGGTGCCTGTGGTGAGCTTGTTGCTATGGTTTGCTCTTGGCCTGAGAATAGGCTGGGAATTCTTTTTTATTGCTTGTGCCTTCCCAGTGGATATTACATGCTTCTAATGCTTGCATTTCAAATTTCAGGTGAAGTCAGAAGTATTTTCAGCATTCTTGTCCTGGACAAGTAAACTGCATGTACACTGTCTACTGCCTACTGCTGTCAGTCATGTCAACTTAGTCAAAAGCCAACTAAAATGTATATAATATACTGTTTTGAACAATGAAACTTCAACTTTCATTGTACTTCTTTTAATCCTGGAGCTTACAGTGGTTAAAAGGTCCTTAGTTTCAATGACGTATGGTTTATATTAGGGATAAGGTATTCTCATCACTTGTCCTCTGACAGAAATTTCCTTAGAACCATTCAGTAAGATTTGGCTAGAATTACGGAAGTTTTGACAAAAATCTTTAGAAGACGTGGATAATCAAATGTTAGAGAAACAGTCCCAACTTCCAAGTCAGGGCTGGTTGGTATGTCTTGGCACCAGATATCATGTGTAACCCCTGCTTCTCTAATTTAGCAAGTGTCTTCTCCAAAGGCCTGTTTTGGATTGGTGGTCTTAAGCCAGAGGCTTCCCCTGAAGTTCCTGAGGGCAGTTCTGACTGTTTGTTTCCAAAGGCCGCCTCACATCTCCACATATGTTGACTAGGATTTTTGGGGTGCTGTGTGATGTTGCTGTGATCCTGCACTCGCTCAACAAGTCTGAAATTGGATATCAGCTGTGCCCGTCTTGCCCAAGGAAGCGTATCTGGTGCCCTGCTTTCCCATGATTCAGGAAGACACCAACATACTTTAGTAGCAAGTGCTGCATAGGTTGGAATACATTAATTCTCACTGTGTCTCTTTTAACTTGCTTTGAAGAGCAAAATATGTACTGAGACTTTGGTGAAGCTAACAGAGGGAGCATGTGTGGAAATGAAATGGGGCAGGTCAAACACCTGAGTCCAGTTACTTTGCAAACCTGGGCAGCTGTCAAATGTGAAGGAGGAATTAACCTGTTTTGATGCTTTTTTTTTCTAACTATGGGGTATACTTAATCTGTTGCTAAGTTGGTAGACTTATTTTAACATTAAACTTCACACAACCTAATCTGTACCGGTTATTGTTTTTTTTTTACATTTTTACTTTTCTAGAATCTGTTATGCAAGAAGTTGATGATGAAGAAGAAGAAGATGATGATGATGATTCTGAAGTTAAAGAAGAAAATGGTGTGTTAGTTTTGAATGATGCTAACTTTGACAGCTTTACTGCAGACAAGGACACTGTGCTCTTGGAGTTCTACGCACCATGGTGGGTTTGCAGCCTGTGATACCTCCTTAAGTGCAGTGTGAGATGGGTGCCAGGAGCTTCTTTGGCAATGTGCAATCCTAGAAAGCGTGCTTGGGAGGTTGTTGATTTTGAGGTAGAAATAGTTGCTTGTTTCTACTTTTTTTCCCACTTGCCTTTATTGGAGTGGTTTTAAGGAGTGAAAAATTCTTGATGGCATTTTTAACACAGCAGTGGGATAATGTGAAAAAGCAGATATTTGGATCATGACTGGTTTTAAAGACTTGTATAGGAGTAGTGCTGTACTGTGATATTGTCCAGGGCAGGAAATGGTTCTGGAAGTCTCATTGCTCCTGTACCATAAGAGCACTTGTCTGTCACCTCAAGTGTCATAGAGGTCATTCAGTCATAGAATCACCAAGATTGGAGAAGACTTGCATCGTTTGTGCTGAGGGCTCCTGCGGCAGGGGCAGCACTGTCCTGGCTCTGGCTCTGCTCTGTACCTGTTGGAGAGATTATCTCAGAGAGCCCCAGAAAGGCCATGTGATGTGACTTGACAGCTTGCTCTCTTGTCCCATTGGCGTACCAAGAACTTGTGCACACATATGAATGGAGAAAGCTTCCCTAGTTAGGAAGTTGTCCTTCAGCAGTTGGAATCTGTGTCTTTGTTGGAAGGATGTTATGATGTGAGGACATTGCTGCCTCGTATTACTAGTTTTAATAGTGCCTTGTGCACTGCTGTTGTACTGGTGTGCACTGAGTAACAACAGAGTACTATGGGGCACTGGCATGGATACAAAGATCTTTAGGCAGGATGCATCTCCCCTTGCATTCTCATGGGCAAAAGTAATAGGATTATTAAAGGGAAAAGCAAGAGTAAATGTTTGCAGTCAAGGTGATTATTTTGTGCTAGTGTTTCAGTGGAAGAGGGGGGAATATTTCTTGCTTGAAGTAGACTTGGCTTTTAATTAATACCAGTCTCATCATGCAGAACTCTACCCCTGTTTGGTAGTTGTAGTTTGCTACCATGAAAACTGAACGTGAAGCATAGCATAAGGACGTGTAACAACCACAAACTAGTGTATTTTCTTTTTTTTCCTCTACGTTCCCTCCTGCCAATTGAGAGACTAAAGAATACAGGCTGTTACATATTAGTTTCTATCTTTATTTTCCTTTGTCTCCAGTTTATCAAAGTCTGTTCACTTCTCTGTATGCTTTGTATACTGGCCCTGTCGTGCCAGCTTCTTCAGCAGTAGCTTCTGCTCTTCCCATGGAGTCCTGTGTAGACCAG